GTTTTGAAATCTGATTAATCCAGACAGATCTTTTGTATAAACTATGCTGGTTGAATCTCAAATAATATTTTTGGCAAATAAATTTTAACTGCATGTTTTTATTCTGTATGACAAATAAATCAAAACCATCTTAAAATTGCATCTTTGTTGTTTTATTTTGCATTCCTTCTGTTTTATAGTTGTTGTTGTTGTTGTTGTTATTGTTGTTGTTGTTGTTGTTGTTGTTGTTGTTGTTGTTGTTGTTGTTTTCCCCACTGAGCTCCAGTGGAGTTTTTGCTGAATAAATAAAGTTGATTTGAACGTTTTCCTCTGCAGACAGCGTCATGCTGAGTCTTCAGCGCCCCCTGCTGGTCACCTGCCTGCATCTGCTGCTGCTGCTGCCCTGGAGCCACAGCAGGATCCTCAGACACACCAATGGCTTTCACTACCAGGACCTCAGCAACGGCAACAGCAACGGCAATGGAAAGGATGAGAGTAGGTGCTTTGTGTGTTTTTCTGGACACATGTAGGAGAGAATGTGCAGACATCATGTGAGACACACACACACAAAAACAACGACATCATTTTGTGTATACCATAACACAGCTGGCAGGCAGGGAGGGGACCTGGATGTGGGGAGACAAGTCTGTAATTTATGGTGTTTTCAGGCTGTCAGCTTGTGTGAACAAAACAAAGTCTTAAAGAGTGATGTTGGTTTCCGGTGAATCAGTCTGTGTTTAGGATGTTTCATCCTCCTGCATCAGTGATTGTCTGCTGCAGCAGTTTGTTTTGTGCAGTTTCTCTTTGTGGTTTTGAGCAACACGTTACCAGTGTCAACAAAAAAGTTTTGAGCTAACAGGGAAAGTATTTGACTTTTATAGCTATTTACAGTTGAGAATGATACAATATATTTTAGGCTTGTTAGTTCAAGACTTAAAATACAAACACTGATCGTCTGCATGAATGATAGGGATTGTAAAACATCCAACTTAGATGTTAAAACAAGAAAAGATTAACAGGATTTGTCTTATGAATCATAACGTTGACAAAGTTCAGCAATATATACTGTGCACAGTTTTGTGCAATTATCAACGCAAATTTTCTGCAGTGAGAGCTTGTTTGTTCTGCAATGTGATGATTAAAGGTAAAGACCTGAGTCATACAGCAGCCATTATCACAATTGACATTTAATGTTGGATTTGAATATATCTGACTGTTTTGCGCAAGTTCAGAACAACTGATTTGTTTTTTTAGATTAAAAACTTTGGTTACGTATTGTAACCCCAGATTCTATGAGTGTAAGCGCAGCCCTCTAAGGCTATCGCAGATGRGTACCCCCGTGCGCGTACGCGCATTCTGAAGTGCCAATAGTCTACGCCCACGTGACGTGGGCCTCACCTCCGTCCGTAT